CTACAGAGTTTCACTGGTTCTGTGCAGGTTAAAATTGAGGGAGGTAGTTTGACTTCTAGGGGTAGGAGAGATCTTTCCATTTTCTCAGTAACATAAGATATGCTGACCTCTCAACCCACAAACTTTTCTGGGGAACACTGGGGTCTTTTGAGATGGGAAAAACAAGCTGCTTGAAATGTGTATTTAAAAACTGCTATACAAGTTCTCTAGGAAGCCGAATACTATTGTTTATACAAGCAAATGAAATATTTAGGGGTTTATAAGCCAAAACAGCCCCAGTGAAGGACAATGTACACACAAACATGAATGCCTTTGCATACACTGTTCCCTCTCCCTGGACAACCTCCTCCCTACCCTCCTCACTCAGGTAACTACTAACCTTCAACATGCAACTTAGATGGCACCTCCTCCAGGCAGCCTTCCCTGATTCCTGCCCGTGTGTGCTGGTGCCCCTTCTGTGATCCCCCATGATGCCTCGCTGCTCCATTAAGCCTCAGTTACACTCTCTTCTAACTCCTACCACTCTTGCTAATAACTATCTACTCCATCACTCATCTGATATCCTCACATTCGTGATCATTTTGAAGGCAGTAATTACACATGCATTTCATGTCATAGTGCTGGCATATGGTAGATGTGTGCAACCAATAAATCATATCTATACGCATATCTGTACACACCTACTCCGTGTGTATGTGTGCAGTGAGAGTAGCTGTACATCACATTCTCAGTGTGATTTCCTGGCTAAATGTTCCATGTGTACGTTGCTACAAGGCTTTGAAGATGAAGCTCTATGGAGAATGTGAATTAGATTCAGTCTTTGAACACTGTCAAAGTTATGTAAATACCACCAAACACATCAAGTGTAAGTTTCTAAAATATTCAACAGACTTGCTTCCACATTTTTCCTTTTAACTAAATCTGAAGAAAATGCAATTTCAGTGTGTGATCTGAGGAGATATGCGTCTAATTTACATGATTCTGAGATGAAACACATGCTCCAGAAATGGTCGCTGTGTTGTCTAAACTTTCTTCTCAGTGGTTTATATCACTGAAATTTTTCTGGTAAATATACAAGGATGGTTACAAAACTCAAGCCAATTTTAGAGCAAAATAAAATTTTTGATTCATTTCAAAGAATTCAAATTCTCAATCAATAAAGCTGGTCTTTTCTTAGAGTTGCCTATTACCTGGACATTTTAACTAACATGATTTAAGCCAAACATTGGGAAGCCATATGACACTGAAGGGTGGGGTGGGGTACCTGGGGGAGGAGGCCAGGAGAGATAGTGTTGTTTGTAAGTAGATCCACTTCTTACACAGGCTCTCCTGTGCATCTTATTGCAGTCAGTTCATGCTGCAGACCTTAGTTTTCCCATCTGGGAAATGGAAAGGTCGGAAGAGACAACATTTAAGGTTCCTTTATGCCTTGTGATTTTAGGATGGTGGGTATTTTCCTAAAGCTGTTATCTATGACACATGGAAAAGTCAGGATGATCTGGTCACAGTGTAGAGATAGATTTTAGCCCCGAGAGATCTGAGTTTCTAGCCTCTACTGCTCCTCTAGTCCTGAGTGACTTCATAGGCACCTAATCTCCACTTAACAGATCTGTCTGTAAAATGACAAGGTGAAACCAGAGCAGTGATGTTCAAGTGCTGGTGGGCATCGGGAGAGCTTTAAACCATGCATGCTGGGCTCACCCCCAGTTTCTGTCTTAGGAGGTCTGGGTTGGGGCCTGAGAATTTGCATTTCTAATGAGTCCAGGAGATACTGATACTGCACTTCAAGAACCACTAAACTAGACAATCTTTTTCAAATTTTTTTAAATTGAAGTACAGTCCGTTTACGTTGTGTTGATTCTTGATGGACAGCATAGTGATTCTGTTATAATATAAATATTTCTTTTCATATTCTTTTTCATCATAGGCTATTACAAGGTACTGAATATAGTCCCCTGTGCTATATAGTAGGGCCTTGCTGTTTATCTATTTTATACATAGTAGTTAGTATCTGCAAATCCCAAACTCTCAGTTTATCCCTCCACCTCTCCTTTTCCCCTGGTAACCACAAGTTTGTTTTCTATGTCTGTGAGTCTGTTCCTATTTTGTGAGTAATGAACTAGATGATCTTGAACCTACCTTCCAACTCTAAGCATCACAGTAAGTTGTAAGGAATTTAGTAACAGCCGTGTTTTTTTACAAGCCACCTCTGCTAGCCCCACGGTACCCCAGGAAGGGGCTTCCTTTTCTGGGGGGGGGGGGGTTCAGACACTGCAAAAATGTGGTTATTCTTATACCTGCCTTCCTTGAAGAGACTCAGTCGACATATTCAACACTTGGCCTCCTGGAATCAACATTCAAGGTTCAGAAACCTCAGGTAATTTGTTTGACTGACTGGCTCAGTGTCATGTTATCTTTGTTTAACAAAAAGAAAGCACAGCTCTGTTCACACTGAGTTCACTAACGCAGAGAACAGAAGAGTCAGATTCCAGAATGTCAAAAGTTCTTTAGTCAAGCAACTTCACCATAATGAGAAAGTCCACCTTCCAAACTCACCCCAGGCTTAAAAAAAAAAAAGTTTTGATAAAACCATCTATATCACTAGATTTCAAACTTGGTGGCACTGCAATGACGGGTTGTTTTTTTAAAATACTGACGCTTGGGTCCATTTCCAGAGATTCTTTTTCACCCGAGGCACTGGAATTTTTAATAGCTACTCAGGAGAAATATTGTGAAGTGAAGTTTGAGATTGACCAATCTCTAAAAAAACAGAATCAATCTATTATTCTTCACTTTGATCCCCACAAGCCATTTTTGTCACTACAAACAGCACGACCATTTGTCTTAAATTGCACGTAAGAATAAACACTGAAATTTTGATAAGCCCACAAGGGGTCACAAACACAGCGGGCAATCAATCAGTATTAGCTATACTGAAGCCTTTCACACAGTCCAGTAACTATTTTTTTGTGGCAAGACGTGCCCCAGATAGACAGTGTCTGCTGCAGAAAGCCAGAAGAGGTTTGCTGGAGGATGACTCCTGTCTTCTAAATTATAAGCACCTTGCAGACATCATCCATGTCCTAAAATCTTTCAAATTCCTGAGTGTCTGTCTGGCTCGGTGCCGGACAAATGAGAGGCACCAAACAAACAGTTATTCAGCTCACTTGAATTTACGACTATCTCTAAGCCTACGGGAGGGAGAACTTACAGAGTACGCTAAGTGATTCATTGCGTGGTACGAGGTATATGTTTCCGTGTGTGTGCTGGGAATGTACACTGTTTAATTCTTTTCAATTCCTTAGAGTAAATGAGAATATTATGGTTGGGGCTTTATAAACATACCATACAACTGTTTATTTCAGAAAGTGGATGGAAGTTTCTGGTGCCTTAAGAAACAGACCTTCCTGACGACAGCCAACAAAACACAGGTGCCACCCAAAGCAGAGAACATGCTACGTAGGCGACTTCGGACTTTTGCCTCTATTTTACAAAGCTGTGGCCGTCCAAAAGTTACCGTGAAGAGGAGACAACAGACGGAAAGCAACAACAGGGGGACAGGCCCCTCTCGGTTACAAGTGCACATGCCCTGGTGGAGCTTTTCTCACATCACCACAAACCAAATGTGTGGTCAGGATCCAAGCAGACTGAGAACTCAGGCAAGGAAGAAGGGTTAAAACCCAATAGCTGGCTTTTCACTCAAAACTGCCCTCCAGCCCTCCTCCCGGCTTCCCCATCCATTGCTAATTAGGGGCAGCCAAGGCTTGACATGTACACAGCTCTCTGTGGTAAAACTGATTATTATATTACTATGGAAAATAAGGAAGTCATTTCGTTCAAAATATCAAATTCCACAAAATCATACGTGACAGCTGTGAGCGTATGCACGTGGGGGAGGGGGTGAGTGTGTGAAAATATTAACCCTCTCCCCTTCAGTTTTCTGACATCTTCGCAAAGACGTGCAAAAGAGAAAGGGGGCGGAGAAAAGGGGATTCCAACACGTAAGGCCGAAACCAATGGCGAAGTTACATATGGATTTTTTTAAGGTTAAAAAAATCCCCCTGATAAGATATGGCACGCACGCCATTTTACGAGTGTGTGGATTTGCTCTGACGCCCTGGCGAGCAGAAAACCGGTATTCCTCTCCCGAACGTGGTGAAGTAACTTTTAATGGCATCAGATAAAGAAACGAGGTGAGTCATGTTTGGTTGTGCATGAGCCTGCTAACAGATCATCACATCCATATCTAAATATGTCCCCTGAACCTCGCAACAGAAGTTTATATATTTGCTTGCTTGCGGACTATTAACATAGCTTTGCTTTGAAATTTAATTTACTTCAAGACACCTAATAGTTGCTGAAATGCTTATCGCGCTTTCGACAGAGGTGCTCAGAAGCAACTTTCAAACATTCTTTTCTGCCAAAATATCCCTGTTCATGAATCCTAACACAGCACTCCCCTCCAGTTCACGAGCCTGACTCTTCTCTTAACAGATATGAGACACTTCCAAAGCCTTCACGTTCATCTTCCATCATTGACAAATTAGAGCAATTAACACAAAACACCTCAACCTTAGAAGACCCCCATCATTCAAAAGGTTTCAGGGTTTTGAAACATCCCCTTCCATTCCCTCCGATCTGGTGATAACGCAATCTGTTTTCCCGCAGCCACACGACTTTATAAAAGAGTTTGGTAACCAGCGTAAAAAGAGCATCTCAACTTCCTTGACATTGGGATCGCTGATTTCACTGGGGTCATGAGGAGCTGGTTTAGGTCACATGTTACCCTGCCGTTATGAATCATTTATTACAACTTTTTTAAACAGGCGGGGGTTGGGTACAGACAAATCGCATACTCATGCACAAATGCTTAGCGCCAAGAACATGGTCAGAAGTGCTGCCCGGAGAATTTAAAAAAAAAAAAAAAGGAAAGAAAGAAAAGAAACCCTTGATTTCCCTCTCGGGCGGGGGAAAGGTAGGATGGCGTCATGCAACCTTACCTTTCTGAAAAAGACCAGCGCTCCAGGCACGGAGCGCTCACCTGAGGCCACCAAAGCCGGGAGTCATTTTGGGTGTCGCACATGTGCCTCCCTAGAAAATTCCAACGACATTCTACCAGCTTCCTGCACGCCAATCATGACAGGCGTCCACGGAAACTCTCCCGAGTCTGGGAAGGGGCAGAGGAGGGGGAACGTGAGCGAGGGAGCCAGCGAAAGAGAAAGAGCGGTCCCAGGCACCGCGCGCCCGGCTGGAAGGGGAGTCACATGCCACCAGGAGCCATTCCTGCTGCATTACACACGCTGAGTGTAAATGGCAAACAATATCAGTCCATGTTTATACCACATGTTCTCAGCCTCTTCACATATCAACACCCAGGCCAGCTCTTTGCAGACAGCCCCCTGAGACCGCCTCTGAACAAGGGAGTCTTGCGCTAATCCTGAGGCCATTTTTAATAAAATTCCAAAGCTTCCACTCCTACTTAATTTCCCATTTTTTGTGGTTGGTGGCAATGGTGACAGTGGTTGGTTGGTTGGTTGGTTGATTTGCTTGGTTTTGAGTCTGGATTTTCAAGGAGAGCAATCTAGTCCTGAAGGTCCCCAAAAGGACCCCATAAGGACCCTAGCAATGTAGCCACATCACACAGCACGGTCATACTGACCCCCTACCCACAAGCTTCCTGAAAAGCTGGCCCCTCTTTTTTTATTTTTGTGGAGCGGGAGGAGATGGAGTGAGGTGGGACCCACCGTTTCACCTGTCCAGCAGTAACTGCAACACTTTTCAGCCAGAAAAATGGACTGTCCTCTGCCCTAAGCAGAGGCTTTTAACGGGGTGAGGGGGGTGATATTCCCCCAGGGTATGCTGGAGACATTTTGCTTCAGAACTGGGTACACTACTGGCGTCTACTGGGCAGAGACCAGTGATGCTGCTAAAATCCTACAACGCTCAGGACAGCCCCATACACAAGGATTACCAGCCCAAGATACTTAACAGTGCCACTGTTAAGAAAATGCTCTACAGGTAAGTAAGTACTTCCAAGAGTCTTGCCAAAAAAAAAAAAAAAAAACCCACAAAAAAAAAAAAAAAAAAAAGAAAGAAAGGAAAGAAGGAAGACAACAAAGCCAAGAAGGCCCTCTGAGAGGCACTGACTGAAGGCCCTGGTCCCGTGACGGGCTTGGCCTGACTATGGTTTGATTACTTAGGAACCTGCTCACTTTTCTCCCCAGGAGTCACTATCCTCCTGCCACTTTTCTTCCTCTTCTCGTTCCAAATCTCACACTGTTATACTTAAATAATCAAACCAAATTGAACCTTCACGTGATTTTCTAAATCAAAATCTGCTGTCCACAGGTACCTCGTTGCCAGGTTACATAAAGCAGCCATCACCCCAGTGTGTCCTGTCTGGACAGCCTGATGTTCATCCAGGATCCCCAGGATCCAGTATAATCCCCTCCCAAAACTATTCAGGACGGCACACGTTTAATAGGGTAAAACCTTCCTAAAAGAGCTTAGAAAGGACTAGGGATTAAAGCTCACTGGGTTCTCCTATTTTACTGAGACTTCCTGGGGGGCGTTGGGGTGGTCGCAGGCATCGGGGAGACTCCCCTCCTGCTAGGACTCAGGGTGGGACGTTCCTGCAGTCACTGAAAAGCTGACGCGAAGGCCGCTCATGCCTGTCTGAACAGCCCGTTTTCAGCCGCCCACCAGAGGCGCGTCCACCGCCCACTTGCCCAGTGAGCTCCCGGAGAGCTCTAGGGCTCTTTCTTCCTAATTTAGTCATAGCCCACAGGCTGCCTCTGGCTCTCTGCCGCTCACTCAGTCACAGACACCTAAAGGCGCCAGTCCCAGATCCTGACCTACGGGATCCAGCCAAGCTGGCCATGGCCACATTTCTGCTCAGACCTTGGGTCCCTCCCATAGTCTACTAAGTTTCCCCAACGCACAAGACTCAGCTCTGACCAGTACATTTTGTCCTTCCTTTGTCTCTGTCTCATTTCATTACACTCAGGACTTTCCTAGGGTAAGAGTTTCCTGAAAAGCACTCCACCACACACATCCCCCCAGACCCATATGTGAGGCTCTGCCCTCGCTTCCCCGTGTAGCCCTGGAGCCAGGCAGCCCAGGCAGACCCGGGAAGTGAGGAGGGACCATGCCTACCTCCAGGATTGTGGTAGAAGGTGTGTGTCCAGTAGCCCAGTTCGGCGTAGTCGGCGCTGGCTGAGGATCTGCTATCATGGGCACCACAGAGTGAGACACTGATGGTGAACTTAATTATTAAGAAAAAAGGATGCCTGATACAGGGCCTGAAATGTAATTCCCAGGAGAAGAAAAGTCAGTCCCTAGAATAAGCCCTTGTTCTTTTTCATTCTCTTTTTATTGAGGTATAGTCAGTTTACAATGTTGTGTCAATTTCTGGTATAAAGCATAATGTTTCCATCACACATATACATGCATATGTTCGTTTTCATATTCTTTGGAAATTGTGTGGTTAGAAGGTCCCAGCTCTTACCCAGGGATTAGTACACAAACCCTGTCCCCACTTGGAAATGAAGACGACCATCACAAACTGAAATGTAGTGAGCATATGTTGAACACCTGCTGTACACCAGCACTGTGCCAGGCAAAGAGGGAGGGAGGAACAAGAGGTAATACTGAGGGTGGATGTGCAAGGCATTATGCTACCCACATATTTTCTCGATCTTCAGACTCTTAAAAAAACTAAGATCACTAGCCCCACTTTATAGATAAGAACACTGAGGCTCCAAATGACTGAGTAACTTACCCAAGTCTCAAAGTCAGTCTGTGGTCACTTGAAAAAGATCTGCTTGATTCCAAAGACCTTGTGCTTCCACTAAAACACCCCCCAGTGTGCAAGATAAGTCATAAGTGTGAATAACAGAGTAAAATGACATGAATATTGCAGGTAAGGCATGTTCCGAGTGTCATAAGAGCAAGCCTGGCTCATAATCTGTGGGGCCCACTGCAAAATAAAAATGCAGGGTCACTGTTCAGCAATCACTAAGAATTTCAAGATGGCAACGGAAGAGCATTAAACCTTCTAAGCAAAGGGCCCTATGTGAACACAGACCCACAAAACCTGTCCTGAAAATAGGGAAAAGCTCAAAGAGGGAGGGGGATGGGGTGGGAGCCTCACCATCCCCTCACTAAGAGGACGCAGTTCCCAGAGCAGCACAGCCCAGGGCTGTTTGCTGGACATCCAAGCCTTTGACTGTGAAGGTCAAAGTGCATGATCCAGGTGTGTTTTCACACTTGTATGCCTGAAAAAGCAGGTGGAGCAGCCAGCACGTTGTTCGGGGGTCAAAAAAGGTGCATTTTATGACCTCAGACTTCTCCCCAGAGAGATCAAGGCTGTTAACATCAAGACAGCTTTGTGGTAGGTGCCGTGCAGTTCAAGGTTGGCAGTCTCTTTCCCTTTCCCACTGCTGGTCGTGGGACGAGGATGAGGAATTCTGAGTTAACCGCAGACAGGCTGGACCAAGGGGAAAAGGCAGGGTCACAGCTCAACCCCTGGAAGTGGGCTTGGGTCCTCGGTCTCAGCCTTATATACCTATCAGGGTGGTGCTAAGTAATTCTGCAATTCTTTGGGGTATGGAAGGACAAAAAGAGTGGTCACCAGTGACTAATCCAGGCTAGTCCTGGACTAGAGACAATAGCTGGGCCTCCTCTAACCTTCAGCACACTGAGCCCAGAGTGGCCGCCTCATCTCTGTTTTTGGTTGAGAATTTTGCTGGAGTTGAAATCTCTACCCGTGCTGGAGGGGCAGAGCCGGTCCCCGCCCTGGCCGTTCCCTTCCCCACTCTGCTGGGATAAGCCAGGAGCTGCTTGGAAAAGTCCAATTCTTGGCCAAGAGGTACAGAGGCTTTCACGGCCTAAGAGATCCCAGTGCACGTGTGGCATGTGAAAAAACCGTTGCAAACATTCCCGGGGCCTTTCTTTTTCCCTCCTCTCCTCTCCTCTTTTCTTTTCTTTTTTAACCCTTTCAACAGAAGCGGCAACTCACGATGATACTATCCCCAAACACCAGGTTCTCTTTATAACCCGGGCTGACTATGCCATTTTTAGCAATGGGGAGAAAAGCTAAGCCAGAAAAGATGGGGTCCCAGGCCCTAGGATGAATGGGAGGCAGTGAGAAGAGGGCAGAGGGACCCCTTAAAGTGCAATAGTAGAGGTTCCAGCCTCTTGTTACAAAAAGATGCAATGAAAGAACAAAGACAGGATTCGTTCCCAGAATGAACAGGCGAGGCCTGTGTAAGGGCCACATCCTACACAGACAAAGGCCAGCCCCAGCGCGGGAGCAGAGGAAACCAGGCAAGAATCGTGAGTCAGACAATGTGGGAATGGGCAGGGGTTTTTAATTCCCATCTGGGTAACTGTTGTTCCTCTGTAGGTTCTCCAAGGACCCACAAAACAGAGGCAGGAAGCAATTTTATGTTTTCCAGATTTGCTTTTTAAAGACTGAGCCCAGCTTCCAGACACAGATCCCATGCTGGGTTCCCAGGGAGACCATGTCCTCAGGACCTTTGCACAATCTGTTCCCTCTCCCTGGAAGTCCTTCCTCCAGATCTGCACTGTCCAACAGGGTAGCTATTAACACATGAAGCTATTATAAGTCGTTAATATTAAATACAACTTAAAACTCAGTTGCTCAGTTGCACTAGCCATAGTTCAAGTATCCAACAGCCACATGGGGTTAGTGGCTACCACGCTGGACAGCACAGCATGTAACATCTCCAGCACTGAGAATGTTCTACAGGAGAGCACTGCTTCAGATCTTCATGTGACTGGCCCCTTCTCAACCTCAGGTTCCTGTGCTACTGTCACCTTCCCAAAGAGGCCATCTCAGACCCAGGAACCTAAAGGACATATGGTCACTCTCTGTCCCGTATCCTATCTTTGTCAATATCTGAAATTATCCTGTTTATTTCGTGCTTTATCGCCTGTCCCCTGCCCCGGAATATCAGCTCTGTGAGAACAGGGAGTTTATCTGCTTCGTCCGTTGCCGCCTGCCCAGTGCCCACACCCAGCACAAGCAGCAGCTCGGTACATGGTACTGACTCACAGCAGGGTCTGCCCCAGCGCTCTGGGATCAGAGGGCGCCGGCCACCAAGTCGGCTGCAGCTTATTTTCCTGTGGTCCAAGATAACGTCTAAGCATGGGCCCATCAAGAGCACCAGGGGAGACTGTCGTAGGAGTGCCCAGGCGGTACGAGAGTAGCTGGAACCCAGCCTTGCCCTGATTCTCCTCCAGGAGCACTGGTCACTTTCCTCACCTCTGTC